AAAAAAACATGTCCAACAGAAAATTAAAATGATACACTGGAAAATCAACTCATCATTAAAAAAGCAGTAAAAGAAAGAATGGAAAAACACAAAAACATAGCCATAGAAAATAACTAGCAAAATATCATAAGTCCTTTTTAATCAGTGTTATTTTAAATGCAAATATTGCAAAAATGGATTGAAAAGGATGTGGTAGAACACACTTGTAACCCCAGCAACTCAGGAGGCTGAGGAAGGAGTGCAAGCTTGAGACCAGCCTCATCAACTGAGCAGTACCCTGTCTTGAAAGTAACTAAACAAGGGTTGGGGATGTCACTCGGTGGTAGAGCACCCCTGGATTTAATCTAGCACTACATAAAAAAAAAAAAAAAAAAGGAGAGCTGTTGAAGAAAAGAAAGGGAAAGGCCATTATGCGTTAGCAAAAATTGTAAATATTTATACATCTAACCACAGAGTCCCAAAATATATGAATGAAAATTATCAGAATTAAAGGAAAAAAGAGTTACCAAAATGGTTGAATACCATAATACCCCACTTTCAACAAGGCATAGAATGTACAGGGAAAAAAAGATCGATTTTTAAAAGAAGGACAGAAGAATATAAACCAAATAGAACTAAGGGACTGTATAGAGGACTGCCCAATAAGGCAGAGTGCACAAGAACTTGTAAGTGCTCCTGGAACACTGTCCAGGAGAGACCATATTGGGCCTCAGAACGCTTTAAATGACAATAAACATAAAAAGACTGAGATCAGACTACGTGTCTTTTGTGATCATAATAAATGAAGCTAGCAAAAAATAATAAAAGGAAAACTAAAAAATTAACAAATATGTAGAAAATAAATAGCATAAAGAAATAAAAAGTAAAATTAGAAAATACTTTAAGCTGAATGAAAAAGATAATACAACATTGCCAAAACATATGAGGTGAGAAAAAAACAATTATCAGAGGGAATTTATAGCTATAACCCTGTTATAAAATATAAATGAATAACCTATGTTTTACACTTTAAGAAGAAAAGGCAAATTAAGCTAAATCCAAAGCTAGCAGAAGGTGAATATAATGAAGGCCTGAGCAGAAATAAAAAAGAAAAACTAGAATAGAAAATAGAGGGGCAGAGGTTGTGGCTCAGTGGTAGAGCACTCGCCTTGCATGTGTGAAACCCTGAGTTTGATCCTCAGCACCACATAAAAATAAATAAGTGAAATAAAGGTATCATGTTCAACTAAAAATAAATATTAAAAAAAGAAAGTAGAATGAAAAAAAATGGCTCCTTGTAAAGATGGATAAAATTGAAAGCATAAGAGAAAACACTCAAATTATCAAAATCAAACTGGGGACAGACATCAATACTGAATTCATAGAAAAAAAAGATAATTTTAAAAGAATACCATGAACAACCATATGTCAATAGATAACCTAGATGACATGGACAAATTTTTTAAAATAAAACTGACTCAAAGGGTTGGAATTGTGGCTCAGTGGTAGAGGGCTTGCCTGGCACGCATGAGGCCCTGGGTTCAATCCTAAGCACTGCACATGAATAAATAAAGATCCATTGACAACTAAAACATATTCTTTTAAAAAGTGACTCAAAAAAAGAATAGGGGGCTGGGTTTGTGGCTCAGTGGTAACAGCACTCGCCTAGCATCTATGAGGCCCTGGGTTTGATCCTCAGCACCACATAAAGATAAATAAATAAAGGTATTGTGTACATCTGCAACCAAAAAATAATATTAAAAAAAAGAATTGAAAATCTAAATATACCCATAGTAAGAGATTGGATCAGTAATCAAAGAAAAATAAATAACATCTAGGTAAGAAATGAAATTAAACTATGTTAGCAGATTAAATGACTTTGTGAATAGAAAACCATCAGGAATCTACAAAAGAACTAACAGCATACAAAAGTGCAGGATCCAAGATGAATACACAAAAAATAAATTCAATTTCAGTAAATTATGATAGCATCAAATAATTAAATAGTAATAAGTTTATTAAAAAATGAAAAACTTGCAAGTCTCTGGACATTAAAAATCCCACTGAAAAATTGGTAAAAGAACTAAGTTAATAGAAAGGCATCCCATATTTATATGAGACTTAAGGTTAAAATGGCAAATATCAATTAGATGCACATATTGAGGAAAACCCATCAAAATTTCCACCTGCCATTTTTGCAGAATTTTAAATGTGACCCACTGATTAATACTGATGTAAAGGGAATTGTGTACACAAAATACTCAAAAAAGTACAAAATTGAAAGACTGTACTTACAATTCCAATTCTTAATATAAATATCTTCAGTATTGCTCAAACTGGATATTCATCTCTCATCTATAAAATCATCTCAAAATGAATAAAGACCTTTCTAGGGGTGATTGAACCCTGGGCACTTGACCACTGAGCCACATCCCTACCCTTTTTAATAAACTGGTCTTGCTGAGTTGCTTAGGGCCTAAGTTGCTGAGACTAGCTTGAAGTTCACACTCCTCTAGCCTCAGCCTCCAGTCACTGGGATTACAAGCATGCACCACCAATATGTTACCTCAAAGACAGAAACTAGAAGGATAAAATATAGGGTGTAACACTTAAGACTTACAACATGATAAGGTTTTTATACAACCATAAAAGCACAAAAGACAAACACAAAAATAAACAAATGGGATTACAAACCAAAAGAGCTAGGCACAACAAAGCAAACAACTAAAAAAGTGGAGAGAGGACTAACAAATGGGAGGAAATCTTTGACAGCCATTCATGCAATGCATGAGTAATATGCAGTAATGTAAAAAAAAAAAAAAATCTAAAACTGGAACAATAACATGTAATCCAGGGGGGGGGAGTTGTGGGTCAGTGGTAGAGCACTCACCTTGCACATGCGAGGCCCTGGGTTCAATCCTCAGAACCACATAAATATGAATAAATAAATAAAATAAATGTATTTAGTCCATCTACAACTTAAAAATTAATAAATATTTTTAAAAATGTAATCCAATCTAAAAGTGGGCAAATTATCTGACCAATTTTTCATAGAAAATACAAATAGCTGATAAAATGTTGAATATAACAAGCCTTCAGGGACATGTGAATCAAAGCTACAGTGAGATATCATCTCACTGCAGTTAGAGGTCATTTGCCAAGAGGGGAAAAAACTAATTAATGCCCATGAAGATGTGGAGGAAAAGAATTTGCACACTGTTGGTAGTTGTAAATTTGTGTAGCCACTGTGGAAAACTGAAAGTTACACATCCTGCTTAATTTTAACCTAAAAAAAATCGACTCTGTGAATTCACCAAATTTTATGATGTAACATAACAAATTGAAAAAACATAAATTACAATGACTTAGTGTTCTCCCAATGAGAAGGAAATAATGGAATATACTAAAAAAACAAAATATGTATTAACATGACCATTGTGGAACTGTATCTTAAAACTAGTTTCTGAATAACACCAAGTGTTCTAACCATCATTCATAAAATCCCTGAACAGGTGATTAAGTAGTGTTTTTATAACATTCAAGTCAGTTATATTAGGTATTACATGAGAAAAAAGAAAGGAGAACAATGAAAATTTGGAGAAATGAGATCATTATACCTAAAATAGGTTTTGTCTTTTTTTTTTCTTTAGGTATCTGAGGTTTTTGTTTACTACTAAATCATCACCAATCTTGAAATTCTTTCAGTTGAATGATTCCCTTTTCTTCTAAAAACTGGCATAAGAAAACATGCACACACACAGTTAGTGCCATGAGATTTATCATAAGATTATAACATTTGTACAATTAAGTCAATATGAATCAAACTAATGTTTTGTAGATACACAGAAGTGACACATGGAAAAAATACTATAGGATAAAATTTAAGATACAGAAGTCTGGATTTATTGGCATTTCTATTTCTCTCCCATAACAGTCTTAATTTACAACTAAATACAAAAAGGAGAAATATTTAAAATACAATTTGTGATAATATTTGCCACATAATTTGAAGCTTAATTACACTTTCTAAATGGTGTAATAACCATATATATCCAATAACATCTTCTATTATCTGTTACCTACAACCTTTAGGAAAGCAAAATTCTTTTATGCCTGGCAGAATAACATGTGACTCACTATATGACAGTGTTAACACATTGAAAAGCATTCACTTTATTTTATTTGAAATACTTTACTCATATTATGCATGAATGTTAACTATTTCAAATTCCATCATGAAGTCTTTAGAAAAATACAGATTGAATATTTCATTAATGAGTCTTCTGAAATAATTTTCTAAGTGAGAATTATAATTTCTTCAACTTTCAGGACTGAGTATATTTATGTAATCTTTAATTTATAAGTTGATGTCTTTTAGAGATGTGCTACCACACTATTCTGATATCTAAGGATTTGTTTGTTTCGCATCAACTAATGAAGTCCAGTAAATTTTAATCAACAGTTAAAGGCAATGCTACCTTCTCCTTTTACAGAATTTCTCTCCATTAATAATACTCATTTACATCTAGATATAAAGACTTTGCTATAATTTTCTCATTTGTCAAGATTTGATCTCCATTATAAACATTTTGCTGTTATATAAGGCATATATTTTGGACAAAGGTCTTTCCACAGACACTTAGTTCACGAGGTTTTGATACAATATAAATTTTCTGATGTAGAACAAAGTATGAAGTTTGATAGTCATTGACAAAATTATCTTTTTGTTCATTGTAAATGAACCTTTATTGTATTCATTTATATATGATGCTGAGAATCGAACCCAGTGCCTCACACAATAGGCAAGCGATCCACCACTGAGCTACAACCCTAGCCCCCTGACACATTATCTTTTTAAAGTTTCCGTACTATGAATTCTCTGATGTTGAGTAAGATGTGAACAACTACTAGCCACATTCCCTACGTTTGCATGGTCCCCTCCAGGATGAATGAATCCCTGATGTTGAGTAAGGATTTAGTTTTGATTAATCGTTTTCAAACAACATTTTCATTTGGAGTGCCTCTCTCCGCTATGAGTCCTGTGGTGGCGAGTTAGGGTTGGACAAGACTTAAAGGCTTTGCCACATTCTTTACATTTGTAGGGCTTCTCTCCTGTATGTATCCTCTGATGCTGAGTAAGGGTTGAGGTTTGGTTAAAAGCTTTGCCACATTCTTTACATTTGTAGGGCTTCTCTCCTGTATGAATTCTACGGTGACTAATAAGGTGTGAGTTTATATTAAATGCTTTGTCACAGTCTTTACATTTGTAGGGCTTCTCTCCTGTATGAATTCTACGGTGACCAATAAGGTTTGAGTTTTGAGTGAAAGCTTTGCCACAGTCTTTACATTTATAGGGCTTCTCTCCAGTATGAACTCTCTGGTGTTGAGTAAGGTGTGAGCTTCGTTTAAAAGCTTTGCCACACTCCTGACATTCATAGGGCTTCTCTCCAGTATGAATTTTCTGGTGCTTATTAAGGTGTGAAGTTCTAATGAAAGTCTTGCCACATTCTTTGCATTTGTAGGGTTTCTGTCCAGTATGAATCCAGTGGTGTTGAGTAAGTGTTAGAGAATCCCTAAAGGCTTTGCCACATTCATTACATTTGTACGGTCTCTCTCCACTATGAATTTTATGGTGTTGAGTAAGCGTTGCAATTTGTTTAAAAGCTTTACCACATTCTTTACACTTGTAGGGCTTCTCCCCAGTATGAATCCTGTGGTGTTGAATAAGGTGTGAACAATCCTTAAAAGCTTTGCCACATTTCTTACATTTATAAGGTCTCTCTCCAGTATGGATCCTCTGATGTTGAGTAAGGTTTGAGTTTCGATTAAAAGCTTTACCACATTCTTTGCATATGTAGGGTTTCTCTCCAGTATGAATCCTCTGGTGTTGAGTAAGGGCTGAACGGTCTTTAAAGGGTTTGCCGCATTCTTTACATTTGTAGGGCTTCTCTCCAGTATGAATTCTATAGTGTTTAATAAGGTGTGAACACTCCTTAAAAGCTTTGCCACATTTTTTACATTTGTACGGTCTCTCTCCAGTATGGATCCTCCGGTGCTGAGTAAGGTTTGAGTTTCGATTAAAAGCTTTGCCACATTCTTTGCACTTGAAAGGTTTCTCTCCAGTATGAATCATCCGGTGTTGAGTAAGGGTTGAGGTTTGATTAAAAGCTCTGCCACAGTCTTTACATTTGTAGGGCTTCTCTCCAGTATGTATTCTCTGGTGTTTAATAAGGTGTGAGCTTATATTAAATGCTTTGCTACAGTCTTTACATTCATATGGCTTCACTCCAGTTTGAATTCTCTGGTGATTAATATGATTTGAGCTTTGATTGAAAGCTTTGACACATTCCTTAAATGTGTAGGGCTCCTCTCCAGTATGAATTCTTCTGTGTTGAGTAAGGCTTGAAATTTTCTTTGAAGTCCTTTCACATTCTTTACATGTGTAAGGTTTGTCTTCAATATGGATATTAACTTTTGAGCTCTGATGACAGACTTTCCCACGTTTATTAACTTTGCAAAGGTTCTTTGTAAAATGAACACACTGATGTTTTCCATGATTTGAACCAAGGCTAATATTTTCATGAGTTTCACTGCATTCACAATTTTTTTCACCAATATAAATACACTGGTAATTACATAGGGTAGAGACTTGGCTAAAGTTCTTGAAGGTTTTATTATAAACATATAAAACTTTCCAAATATCTTTATCTGAATTTTGATTATGCAATAATGGGGAAGCATGAACCTCCCCACTTTGATTAAGACTGTATATTTTGGCACAAGGAGGAACAATTTGTTGTTGATTGCAAAATAGCAGACTTTTTGTGAAGTAACACTCAACATGATCACATTCAGAAATTTGTTCTTTATTTTTAACTCTCTTATCTATACAAATGTTTGAGTAAAAGTTTAAACCAATGCTGCAATTGAAATTGTTCATGTTGTTAACTGAAGCTTGGGACAGACTCCATTTCAGACTTTCCAAATTTCCTTTCAGAGGGAAGATATGGTTCAAAAACTGCTGTGGATATGTATTTAGAAACACAGAGAGCTCCTCAAAAGTGACTGGAATAAATTGAGCTGTTTTCTGAGATGCTATATGTTCTTGATGTCTGCTGACATTGACATTTTCATCATGGATAGTCATCAAACATTTGTTATGCTCATTATGACAAGATTTCGGAACTTCACTCTCTCTGACACTTTCCCAGTCTTTCCTTAGATGTAAATTTTCAATACCTTGACTTCCATGTCTTCCCTTGATCACTTTTTGAGATAAATGTTTTAATCCCTGCTCTGGCAAAAAGTCTTGGACTTGATGAGAATATACAGCTGAAAGAAACAAAAATAATCAATTATTTCACTTTCGAGACTGGTGAATATAATTTGCAAATATATGAAATTATACGAAGGTGGGACATCAATAAGGGATGTCCCACCTTCATATAGTAAACCCATGACTTTCATTATTCCAGAGAGATGTGAACTTCAAAACCATATTCTGAAAGAACTGATCTGTAAGAATCTTCAAAACTGCCTGAGACTTCACAGCGCCACAGATGAGCACATCGCTACAGAGACATGCAGTAGATGGAGGAAAGGGTTACTTTTATCACCCACAGCATTCCAACTCAACTGTGCAATTAGGGAAAAAATATATCACCTACAACATTGCGACTCAACTGTGCAACTAGGGACAAAATAGCAATACTTTCTCTCTCAGTAAGAAAAAGGAACAGAAAAGCTTGCAAATATTTCTGACTTTATTGGGGACTTTCTAAACACTAGTTTCTGTCTATCCAGAGACTTGGAGCTGAAAGGTAGATTTTTGGATGACAGTACCCCAAAATCTCAATAGAGCAGAAGAACCCATGGACTTTTAAGAAGAAATATAAGCAAACTTTTATGATGGGAAACATACATATATACTTCTGGAGAAATATTCTGAAAAGAAAATTGAGAGGCAACAACAATCTCATAGAGCAGATATCAATATCACCTAGCCAAAGCTAACCCATAGGGATCAACCAAAATGACTTGCTTTATATTTGTTTCAATTTTTTCTATTTATTAATTTCACTGACAGGTCAACCTTTATATACTTACCATGTACATCATCTTTTAAAGTATATATACACATACATGGTAAAATGACTAAATCTAACACATGCATTATTTTGTATAATTAGCATTTTTGTTATTAGAAAACTTTACGTCCATTCTAGTAGCACTTCCTAGGCACACATTACACTACCCGGGCATGGTGGTGCACAGCTATAATCCCAGTGACAGCTGTAATCCCAGTGGCTCAAGTGGCTGAGGCAGGAGGATAGCAAGTTCAAGATCAGCCTATGCAACTAGTGAGACCCTGTCTCTAAATAAATAAATGAATGAGTTGGGGATGTAGCTCAGTGGCTATCACTGATACAATTCTCAGTAGCAAAAATAAAATAAAATAGTATTCACCCTTTGTAGAGTAGAACTCTTGACTTATTTACACCCATTTAAGATGAAATCTTGCATCTATGACTAACATTACAACCCCCTAAGTCCCATGCCCTGGTAACCACCATTTTATGTGACATTTGAGATCTACTTTGTCAGTTTCTATGTGAGTCTACTAGTGCAGAAACTGACCTTCTGCCTTATTTCTTTTCTCCTTTTCTTGGGGGAGAGATGAGGAAGGGGGATACTTGTGATCGAACCCAAAGTTTCTTTACCACTGAGCTATATTTGCAGTCCCCCACCTTTTAAATATGTGTGTGTGTGTGTGTTTTGAGACCAGGTCTCATTAGCTGCTGAGACTCATCTCAAATGTGCATTCCTCTAGTCTCAGCCTCAACTAGTGAGGATTACAGGAATGGGTCATTTCATCTGGCCTATTTTTTGTGTATTTAATAACTTTAATACTCCTTTCCCAAATGATGTTAATAATCTACTGTTGGCTGGTTTCCAAGTGAAAAATGTCCAGTGAAAAATAACAGAGAACACAAAGAAAAAGTGAAAAATGACTCCATCAAAGTAACAAAATAAAACAGTGGGAATTGACCATTAGGAAACTATTATAGATAACCTACAGAACACTAAGTAGCCATTTGAAAATGTTCAACAACTAAACCAGAACAATAGGAAAAATAAACAAAATTCAGACGAAAAAATTCCAACATAAGCAAGTAGAAACTGTGTAATAGAATTCCTTAAGAAATAATATTTGAGGGCTGGAGTTGTAGCTCAGTGGTAGAGCACTTGCCTACCACATGTGAGGGACTGAGTTTGATCCTCAACACCACATAAAAATAAATAAAATAAAGGCATTATGTCCATCTACAACTAAAAATATTTTTAAAGAGTTTGAGAAACTAGAAATACAAAAAAAATATATAACAGATATCCAACTTTAAGAATTTCAATCATCTCTAGAAAAAAGCAAAAGATTGAATATAAAGCACATTATACTCAAAGTGTCAAAGTCACAAAGAAAATTTTGAAAGGACCAAGATAAAAGAGGTTTGTCAGAAGTCTTCCAGAAAAGAATAGGGGAATACAGTCAAAAGGGTGAAAAAACAGAGCTAGGAACCAAGAATACTATATCCAGAAATATCATGCTTCAAAGGTGAAAATTAAGACTTTTAAGATATGCAAATACTCAAAAAGTTCCTTACCACTAGACCTGGTCCTACAAGAAATACTAAAGGAAATCCTTCCCATTAGAAATAAAATAAACCTACACAACAACACAAATAATTTGAAATTTTAAAGCTTTTTGTGAAAAATAAATAAATATAAAATTCTATAGAACTGTAATAATGGTAACTTAAAACAATTTTGCTACAGAATTTAAAAGACAAAAGCACAAAATTATTATACTCTATTAATGCATATGCCATTTCCAAACAGCTGTGACATCAATAACCTAACACTAAGAGAATATTTAAAGAAAATGATTTTTATACAGAATTGACATTAATTTATTATCACTTCAAAATACCATGTAAGCTTAAAGTGCTGTTTTGTATAATCAAAATATAATAAAAATAAATAAATAAGCACAGAAGATATAAGGGGAACAAGGGGAGAAACCAAAGCATGTCACTATAAAAATTAATGAACCACAAATTAAAGCAGTTCAGAAAAGTAGGAAAAGCAATTATAAGAAAAAAATAACTTAAAATGGCAATAGTAAGTGCTTCCTTTTCCGTAATATATTAAGTATAAATGAATTATTATTAGCCACTTTTTATAATGCATGACAAGATTAACAGGGTTAAGCCCCCAAATATCCAACTGAATGCTATCTAGGACTATGTTGCATAGTATGTCATCTTTCAACTTTCAATTTTCCTGTCTATATTTTCAAAGATTGATGTTAGTTATACAAGATTTTTACTATTTTTGTAGTATCATAAAGAGTGGTCCCTTTTGTGGGGATCCGCTCTAAATGACCACACCTTCCAGTCCTGAAACACCAGGCTCTGACCAGTCACTACATTTCGTGGTGACTTGGGCGTTGTCCCAGTTTGGATAGCAAGGCATGGCTCCAGGAGTAGGTGTCACCCAGTGGGGTTGAGTCCCACTCACCTATTCCTTTGTAACCCTACCCCTTGCCTCATTTGATGGCTTCTTCCCAATAAAAGGGTTCAACATGTGCTCCTCTCTCTTCCCATGGACCCCTAAGGTGAGAGGAGCCATCACAGCACCCAAAGAAAAAGGTATGTCTCTGTCTCTGTAAATTATTTCCTGCAACCCAGTTCACCTGGAGTGACCTGAGTGTTTAGTCATGGAACTCAACAATTGGTGGCACATACAGAGACTCCAGGGTGAATTTTAGAAATTTAGTGGATTTGGAATTTCTCTCCAGAAGTTAAGCATGCTTAGGATTTCAGAGTATTGTGGGCTGAATTGCAGAAAGTAAGTGAATTAGAAGAAACATCTGTGACGTTAAACTTTTTTAACATCTGGGAATATTTCGTCTTTAGAAAGATAAAAAATTTTACTTTTGCAATTCTAGAGACTGTAGTTCTCTCCCATGGGAAAAGCGCTTTTGTGTACCTTTTTGGATTGTTTTTGTAAATCTTTATATTTTAAAATATTAGGTATTAGGAGTTACATGCTAAAAACCTGTGCTTGGAGAGTATAAGAGAGAAAAACAAAGAACTTTTTGTGGTGAGACTTAACACAGGAGATATTCTACTTCTAGAGAGGTATATTTGTTTTTCTGTTGTTTTTTAAAGGTACTCAAACAATTTATATTGCACCTTTGTACCGCATTCTTGTCCTACTGGATTAGAATGGCTACAACTCAGCCACTGCGGACAAAAGACTTTAGCCGCTGTTCCCTATGGGGTCTGTAACTAGACCCACCGCCAGCAGTGCTTTTAACCCTGAAACCACCTGGCCTGGGTGCCAAACAGGCAAGGTGTCAGACTGCCCTATGATCTGATAGTAACACTGGTGTCTGCCGTGAAACTCACCTTTAAAGTGCCCACGTGCTACAAGGGAAAGTACAAAAGACAGAAGGACATACACTGCAAGCACAGGGAAGGGAAATGCAAACAAACCAGATGGAATGCAACTGGCTCCAGAAGCCTTTGCCCCAACAATGGGCAGCTGGCTCCATGTGGTTTTCAACACCTGGCTACTGCCCAAAGCCTAGCCAGCCCCGCAGGCTTCCTGGTCCCATCTCCCATGTTTTCACAGGCTTCCCATTGGTCCTTCTAATGTCACTCAGACAGGACTTCTGGTCCCACCTCCCAGCCACTAACCTGTACTTCCTGTTTCCCACAGACCTGCTACTGAAACTACACAGAGCCTGCATTTTTAAGAATGCCCACCTGTAAATGCTAATGAAAAGTATCTTTTTCAGACAAAATCTAATTCCTCAGGTTTCTACTTTGCAGCCCTAAGCCTGACTTGCTCTCAAAGCTAAAAATAACTTGATTTTTTATCCCTCAACACCTTTGTTTAAGACCCTTCCTTTTCCTCTCTATGGTAATATTACTAAATAATGTTCTATTGATGAGAGGTATCAAACATATGCTTCTTTGTATTTTGTTTTCAATTTTGAAGACTATGAGGATGCATTTGCTTGTCCCAGGAACAAAAGCTGGCAATGTTCATGTGATAATCAAGAAATCCTTATTCTCATTCCTGAATATAAAATTACAAGAAATGAGCAAATATTTACACAAGGATCTTATTACATGATGTCACAAATATAAAAATGTGCACTACTCATCCAAAGAAAATTAAAATGGATCCAAATATCTTAAGAACCATGTGGTAACATAAAGCTTATACAATCATAAGTTTTGTCCTTATTCTTAATACATATTTTTCTAGGTATTTGGATAGCCTATAATTGTTAATGTATAAAATAATTAGCATATGTCTAATTGTTTAGTTAATATATATTTATCTTATGTTTTCCTTTAACAGAAAACATATATATAATATATATATATATATATATACATTTATCTGATGCTCTGCCTTTTGTAATTAGAAATACCTTAAGATAAATGTATTTTACTATAAATTTGCTTTCAAGTACAACCATCAAGTAATCTCTAACTCTCAAATTATTGTACAAACTTTATAAGATGATAAACAAATATAATTCTATCTACAGGAGTATCTAAAGGCTTTAACTATATTTTTATTCAGATATTTCTCCTTATAAAAGGTACAATAATTTGTTTATATTCTAAGATTTCCAGGAATTATTCCAAATATAGTCCAGGAAAAATTCTAGAAAGAGAAGAAGATGCTTCAACAAAGGAAACACACACTGTAGGTCCTAAGAAGAAGAAAGAAATCATCTTTGGGTAAAACAAGATCTTTATATTCTATATTTTATCGATAAAAGTATTTTCCTAAATAGGGAAATCTTTAAATCATTATCTAGACAGATGATATAGAAAATTAAAATAACTGAAAAAGAGACTTATGTATACTGGACTGACTATAAAAATTTAAACTGATTAATTCAAGGATATTTCAGGCTGTTTCCTTGATTTTAATATACTGATATCAGCTAAGACTTTGTCCATATTTTGACATGATAAAGACTCTCAGTAACACAGTTAAGAAAATTTTTGAAATATTTTTAAGATCTAGTATGTGTCTGTGGCTTCTGTTTTCCCCCTTTTCTTTATTTAATAAAATTGAGTTAAGGCCTGGCATCAACAGTAGTATCATCAATTTAAGTTATAGATAATAGTACAAGTATTTAAATAATAAGAAAGGATTTATTATCCTTAGCTAGTCATAAATTTTGACAAAGGTCATCTGCTAGCTATGTTAAGTCCAACATTAATGTGTTGGAAAGGGACTATGGCAAATAGAAACAGCCTTTATTAAATGTATGACTTGATTTTTGTCTTACTGCTACTGAACATGATTCAGTAAATTAAATCACATTTCAAAAGATAGAGTTTAAACCTGTCATTGTGATAATGACTGAGAAACCTGGCACAGGAAGGTAAATTTCCAGCTGCAGATTTTACAACCATGTAGCTTCACAAGTTTATCTAAGTAAAAATTATGAAGAGACTTCTATGGACTAATTTCTCAGGTCCATTTTTAATGTACATCGTAGTGGGGACTGGAAAGTCCACCAATGAAACTAGATTAACTGTACTGACTGTAATTGTCAGTTATACCTTTATGTTGATCCTATGGTAAACAAGCTGTCCGGGAGTATCTTTTGAGAAAAAGACAGCATATAAGAAACCTAAACCAGCCAATCATGCTGGCCCTTAGAGGTTAAGACTATATTTACTTATCTGGACAAGTGTCAGATAGATTATTAAAATAGATTTTTCCTATACAGAGCAGTTATTTACATAAAAATATCCACCAATGTATTACTGTCCTAATCATTCTACAATATAAGTTGGCCCCTTTTCTAAGTGGATGGATTGTGCATGTCTTGTCAGTACAACACAAGATGTCTAGAAGTAGTGGATATTTTAGGCTGGTCTCCTAGAATGGACAAGAACGATTACGAGGATGCCATAACTCCTAAAAACTTTAACTCTCACTGAGACGGCATCCAAAAGGATGTTTTGATGTTAACTTCTGCTAAGTATACTTACATTACTGGCAGACCCAATAGACCCCTTAAATGTGAGAATTAAGAGAAAGAATGATGAATATCCTGTGAGTATACAACTTATCTTATTGTATCACTAGTTATTGCCATCTAATATTTCAGAGCAATAACATGCTGAAGTTAATGCTCAGGCTTTGAAACAGGTGCATCCCAATTAGCCAGACCTAGGCAAGCTCCTGGTCTCATGATCCTTGAATGACTACCTTCAGTATTATTCCTTGCTTCTACAATACAGCCATGATGGCTAAGTTTTAGAAATTACAACATATGGATTTTCTTAATAGTTTGACTTAAATTCTAAGTTAAAATGCTCTAGAAGTCCCTGTAATGAATAATGCAAATGAGCCCTCTGCACTATGGTTTGTGGAAAGGCTTAAACACATGCCAAATAAAAATGTCTGTGTTACCATAACCAAACATAATGCTTCCCAATAAAATTGGGAAAAGATTAAGAATCTTCTGATGAGTGTTTGGCAGAATAATAATAATCATCATCTAGATCTTCCAAGTTGATTATGTTGTTGAAATGATATGTTTTCTACTAATTCTTTTTGTGTTTCAATAGTAGATGATGATGACCTTGAACCAAGAATCCAGTGACTGAAAGATATAATTCCCTAGTTGCCTTTTTTTATATTAAGAAAGGGGGAATATGTGGGGAGCCGCTCTGATGACCATGCCTTCCAGTCCTGAAGCACAAGGCTCTGACCAGTCACTACATTTCATGGTGACTTGGGCATGGTGACTTAGGCATTGTCCCAGCTCGGATAGCAACACATGGCTCCAGGAGTAGGTGTCACCCTACCCCTTGCCTCATTTGAATGGCTTCTTCCCAATAAAAGGGTTCAGCATGTGCTCCTCTCTCTTCCCATTAACACCAAAGTTAGGGGGAGGGAGGGGGCTGTCACAGCATCCAAAGAAAAAGGTATTTCTCTGTCTCTGTGAGATGATTTCCTGCAGCCCAGTTCACCTGGAGTGACCCTGAGTGTTTAGTCGTGGGACACGACACCCTTTTATCTCTTATTTTACTTTGTCTCTTTATCAAAGTTTTTTCACTTACACGTATTTTACCCTACATGACTTCTAGACTATTTAATCTAAGGTCACGGAGAGTAAAAGAGAAAGGATGGAAAGGAATAACGAAAAATGAATTAAAGGAAGCAGAGGTGGCAAGAATTATATTAAGTAAAACACAATTTTAAACCAAGTTATATGAAATAAAATACATTTAAAGTAAAAAAAAAAAAAACTTTCATATGAGACAAAGTAGAATATAACAATAAAAGGGACCTCTCTCTAGGACACTACAGAAACAGTGAATATGTAGGCAATGCACCTCACACTTCCCAAATATAGAAAGCAAATTTGAGAGAATTAAAGAAACAGAAAGCAACACGGTAATACTAGGAGAAATCAATCCCCATTTACTATAATGAAACATAAAACCAGACACAATGGTAATCAGGAACTACAAGACTTCAAAAAATGTTATATAGCAATTAGACTTACAGAGTAAATCTTCTTAATAGTTCATAAAATATTATTCTGGATAAGCCAACTTAAAAGCACAAAATGAACATTAATAAATATTGAAATTATTTTCTAAGCATAATATAACTACCACTGATCTAAAGTGAAGGATGTTTATCGCCTTGAGATAGAGAGGTCAATCACAAAGGGAAATATCATTAATATTTTCCTATCTATACTAACAGATGTCCAGTTTTCTCTGAAAGCACGTATCAGAAACATTCATTTGGAGCAGTTTCCAAGAGATAATCTGAAAGGAAGGAGATTTTACACTGATAGCGAATGCTGAGTTCTGAAGGGAAGCCCTGCTCACCCAGGAAGAACAGGTTTTGGTAGTTCTCTAACATCACATCTTTATATAGATTCTGCTGAGCAGGGTCCAGGCAATCCCATTCCTCTTGAGACAAATCAATGGTAACATCCCTGAATGTCAATGGTTCCTGAAAAAAAGAGAATATGTATATGAGTAGCATAATGACCTTGTGATCACCAACAGTCTTTAATTGGACCCCAGTTGAAATGTTACGAGAACCAGTTCCCACCCAGGCAGCTGACCTCCATTATTCAGTAATATACTTTTAAACACAGTGATGTGCTCTAATGTATTATCTAACCCTGAAGAGAGAAGATGATATAAGTAAAAAGCGTATATACTACTAAAAAGAACAAATAAAAAATTTTAAGTATATACTAAACGCTTCTAAAATAAAATGTAAAATTAAGGCATCAACACAAGAATATACATTTTAACCATGTTTGCAGAAGATCAATTGTATATATTTCTCAAATGAGAGTTACATTGAGTAAGAGGATGCTTCTCAAATTTTAACATGTACAAACATGAATTAGAAATTTTATGAAAAAAGCAGGCAATGATTCAGCCATTTTGGAATGTAATATGGATTTCTGAACACAGAGCAAGCCCTCTAGTGATTCCAATGCCAATGGTCCAAAGAAAAGCCCTTGAATAGCAATGAAGTAGAATAATAAAGGAAAAATATTCAATTTTAAGAGATTTATGCATTTCATTATAACAGCAAGGAGCAACAACAATCCTTTTGGATTGTTTTGGTTCACTGCAAATATATAAATATCACTCTAAGTGGTTTTCATACCTTATGTATAAAACCCATAATAACCTATGAGAGACCTAATAGTTTTCATCTTTTATGCCATTTTATCAAACATCCAGTAAATGGTAGAGTCCAGGTTTTATCCAAGTTTTTCTGACATAATTCATAAAAAGGTCAAAATAAAGTGTGAATATTAAAAAAATTTTCAGGGACTGGGAGAGTGCTCAGTGGTACAGCACTTGCCTAGCATCTGCGAAGCCCTGGGTCAGATCCTCAGCACCATATAAAATAAATAAATAAAATAAAGATATTGTGTTCAACTACAACTAAAAAATAAATATTAAAAAATAGAATTTTCAGGGGCTGGGGATGTGGCTCAAGCGGTAGCGCGCTCGCCTGGCATGCGTGCGGCCCGGGTTCGATCCTCAGCACCACATACCAACAAAGATGTTGTGTCCGCCGAGAACTAAAATAAATAAATAAATTTAAAAAAAAATAGAATTTTCATAACAGGACAGTCATTATAACTGAGGAGTAGTGTAAACATTTAAAGAAGGCAGCAAAATCAGACTCATCAATGATATTTACATTTTAGCACACATACAAAACGGCAACTTTTTATACATTAAGACAGAATTGTTCATGTGAACAGAAATAAAAAATATATTCAATTGGGGAAAATTATAAATCAACTGGGGGTTGGCTTTTTATATTACTGACATAAACACACTGAAGAATAAAGGATGAAGAACTCAGGTTGTGTATTTTCTTTTCCTTTCCTGCATCGTCTGCTCCGAGCTGTGACTTTGACTCTAAGGAAGGTGAGTGTGTGTAACTCCCGCCTCTGTAACCCAGAACGCACGCAGGCGAGGGCGCTGCAGGAACCGCGTGCTAATCACAGTCCCTTGAGCCGTGGTTTCTCTGGGACCCACCAGGTGGAGACCGCCGGATCCTGCTGGCCCCGTCTCAGCTCAGAGCCTTGAGGCCTGGCAGCCTCCAGATGGACAAGCAGGCCGGAGGCCACCAACCCCTAGGCAAGGCCCTGCCGCAGGACTCCTGCTGAGACCTCCTTCCCACCCCTTCCTTCTGACCTGTGCCCTCTCCTGAGGCCAGAGCCCTCCGGTTAACCCTAACCCTCTGCTAATACTCTGGCCTGTTGGCCTTTCTTTTCTGATGTGCCCTTTTCATAGCTTTACTGCACAGCCAGCCCCATCCATCCCTGGGGAGGTGACACCAGGAGGCACAGTAAGGTGGAATCCAGTGGAAGCACAGGTGACTAGGGTCTGATGAGTAGCAAGGCCAATGTCTCCCGCAAACAAGAGTGGGAATTTTCCCTCTCCAAAACAAGTCCCAAGCCTGAAGTCACAAAAAAATGAATTTCTGCATCAAATATGATGGTTTATACAAATTATTTTAAAAATCCTGATAAAATACTTAATGATAAAAAGAAAGAAATTAACTTGGGGAAGTCATTAACCATGGGGAAGAATCTGTCACAGAAAGTTTAGACCAAGCAAATAAGGTGGAATTTACTGTAATAGGAGAAACTCGTTTAAAAGGAGCATGCAAAAATGGACACACCATCACTGCAGGGTTATCAGCGCCCCAAACAAAGTGAAATAAAAGGTGCCCACCAGTTTTATGTAAAGCGTGAGATGATCACATCTCCTGTGCTCTGTAAGCATCCACAGGGTGGCACTTTCCTAGCACTCTGGAGAATGAATCTCTTGTAATTTTCTCTTCTGTCAGAACTTGGGTACTTTGGCAATGCATGTTATCCCCATCAATATGCCTTCTGTCAACTCTCTTAAAGACGATGCAGCATCCAGATGGAATGTCAACAAAGCATGGCTTATTGTACAATATCTATGAAAAAGCACTGCAGAGACTCGAGGCAACTCCCATCAAAACACTGAGGACACAGGACAGCTCAGCATATGCAAATAAATAAATGTAGTACACCACACGTACAGAACCAACCTAAAAAAGACAAGACCACCTGAACTGATGCAGAAAAAGGCTTCAGTGACATTCAACCCCACTTCTTGATAAAAATCCTTAATAAACTAGGGATAGAAGGAACTTACCTCAAATCATAGTGGCTACATATGACAACCACAAAGCCAACAGCATGATGAGTGAAAGCACTTCCTCTAAAACCAAGAACAACATGAGGATGTCCACACTCATAAATTCTGCTCAATGTCATACTTGTATTTTTAGCTGGAGCATTTGGCAAGGGACAGAAATAAAATAGACACAAATTAAAAAGGAAAAACTCAAAATACCCATATCTGCAAAGGATATGATCCTTCCTATACTTAGGAAATTCTGAAACCTTCAACAAAGAATCCCAGATCTGATCAACAAATCCAACAAAGTAACAGAATAAGAAAATCAATGCCAAAATCAGTAGCTTTTTTTTTTTTTTTTTTTTTTGTACTGGGGACTGAACTCCAGGTCACTCAACCACTGAGCCACATTCCCAGCCCTTTTTTATATTTCATTTAGAGACAGGGTCTCACTGAGTTGCTGAGGCTGGCTTTGAATTCACGATCCTTCTGCCTCTGCCTCCCCAGCCACTGCGCCCATCCTAACCAGAGCTTTTCTATACAATAATCTGCTGAAAAAGAAATTAAGAAGGCTATTCCATTCAAAATAACTTTAAAAAGTAAAATGCTCAGCAATAAATCTGACAACAGAAGTGAAAAACTTTTACAAGCAAAATTACAGACCACTGAGTGAGGCAGAACAGGATGCAAGGAGAAGGGAAGACTCCTGGTGTTCATGGAAAAACTCTAGAGACTCGAGGCAACCCCCTCCAAATACCAATGAGATTCTTCACAGTAGACAAATAATCCTAAAATTCACATGGAATCCTAAAAAGTCCAGCAAGTAAAGCAGTCCTGAGTAAAAACAGTAAAGCTGAAGGAATCACAATACCCGACTTCTGATTACAGACAGAGCAACAAAACATGGTGGTGCTGGAATAAAAGCAGACACACAACAACAAGCGATGGAACAGAGGAGAGAACAGACAGAGCCTCACGGCTGTGATCATTTGATGACCGACAAAGGCCAAAATAACAAACATTAGAGAAAAGAAGTCCTCTCTAGTCCTCTCTAACAACTGGTGCTGGGAACATGGGGATGTCTGCATGCCAAAGACTGAGCCTACATTCCTATCTCTAAACCTGCACAAAGGTCAACCCCAAATGGGTCAAGGCCTAAGACCAGAAACTTTATAGCTGCTACAAGAAAACTAGGAACAGTCCAACATAGTGCACAGGATTTGCTTCCCCACTAGGATCTTACAGTTCAGTAAATAATCAAGAATCAATAAATGAGGGTTGGGGAAATATCTCAGTTGGTAAGTGCTTGCCTAGCATGTATAAAACCCTGGGTTCAATCCCCAGCACCACAGAAAAAAAGAATCAATAAATGAGATGGCATTAAACTAAAAACCTTCTGCATGGCAAAGGAAAAAAACATCAGCCAGAATAGATAGCCTACTAAATGAGAGAAGATCTTTGTCATTTACTACTGATTAATATCCAGAATACAAAATGAACTTAAAACCAGAAAACAAAACAACCCATTCAGCTGGGCATGGTGGTGCATGCCTGTAATCCCAACGGCTGAGGAGACTGAGGCAGGAGGTTCCTGAGTTCAAAGCCAGCCTCAGCAACAGCAAGGTGCTAAGCAACTCAGTGAGACTCTGTCTCTAAATAAAATACAAAATAGGGCTGGGGATGTAGCTCAGTGGCCAAGTGACCCTGAGTTCAATCCCTAGTACCAAAAACAAAACAAAACAAAAAAAAAAAAAAAAATCAAACAAAAAAAACATTCAATAAAATAAATATTTCTCATCTCTCAAAAAAATAGCACAGGGCTGGGAATGTGGCTCAAGCGGTAGCGTGCTTGCCTGGCATGCATGTGGCCCGGGTTCGATCCTCAGCATCACATATAAACAAAGATGTTGTGTCCGCCGAAAACTAAAAAATAAATATTAAAAATTCTCTCTCTCTCACTCTCTTAAAAAAAATAGCACAAATAGCAAACAATTATAAAGAAAATGTTCCAAATTTTTAACAATCACGGAAATGCAAATCAAAAGTTTCCTAAGATTCCACGTCACCCCAGTTAGAATGCCAATCATCAGGACTACAAATAATAAATAATAAATGCTGACAAGGACATGGGAGAAAGGGAGTACACACACAACACTGCTGAGAATATAAATTAATACAACCACTACAGAAATCAGTGTGGATGCTTCCTCAGAAAACCCAAAGAACTACTACATGAGCCTCGGGATCTATCTTAACAGTTTGGAGATGGATTCCCATGCTTACAGCACCACAACT